TTGCAAGGAAGATTTGCATTGATAAGGGTGCTCTGAGAGACAGAAAAGGATTTAATACCAATAGCAGAAGGAGATCTCTGATTGCTTTGTGATTTCTGAAGTCATCTGAACTTGGCATTTCCCATCAGAATTGGGCTGGCTGACAAATGGAGCAGAAGCAGGTGGAACCAGTACTATCAGAGGTGTCTGTCCAGACCCTGAGGTGCTCACCGCCTCCAGCCAGGAGTTTGGGTGATAAGGAACCAGGAGGAGCCTCCTGGAGATGGCTGTCTCTCCCCAGCCAGCCTGGAGCTACTCTGCTGGGACAGGACAAGCGCACTCATGGAGCCGCCAGCATATTTGCTAGTACCATCACCCCACTGTGTGCTTACCAAAATAAGGACATTTCCAGGTTTCTGCTGTCTGGGCAATTGGGCATGTAGCAGAGTGACTATGCACTGGTCCATCGATGTATTTGGAGATCTAATCAGGACTCACCATCTAGCAAGATTTAAGTTTCTGTTGATACTTAAGTACTGGAGTTGAGTGACTCCAAGGAGCGATGGTTAATGACAAAGATATTCTGAACTTAGTTTAGATATTTGATCTCAGTCTGGAGGATATGATCTTCAAAAAAAATATTATACTTTGTGATAAACGCCTTCTCAGAGTTCTGACCTGAGCCAGGTTATTATTCCTATGAAGGCCTTTGTAAGCCCCAGGAAGGTTATCCTACCATCAGTACATGGAGGTGCAACCAGCAGTTTCACGGAGATTTATCTGGCTTTTGCTGCCTTCTCTGCTGGATACACAACATGTGGAGATGGTTCATGTTTTGAGTTATCAAGACCAACTCTATCAAACAAGAAAACATACTGTATGTTGAGCTTGCAGTTACTCCTGTCCTTCCCATCATAAAGGTCTGTGTGAACAGTCAGTCCCTCAGGAAACCCCAGTGCTGTGCCTAGCCAGGACTGTATTTCTGAGGAAGCAGTTCTGAGCCATGCATGTTTCAGGACAGCAGGAGGACTATTTTGTGGGCATTAGCATGCCTTGGATCCTTAGGATCCTAGGATTTCAAGGACAGCTTTGTGGCAACCTCTCTGCAGCATCTAGGTCCTGCACCCAAGGGACCTCCAGAACTAGCATCCGAAACCTGAAGACTGCAGGGGAAACCCTGGTGTCTCATCAAAAACTATTAATACAGATACTGTACAGCTCGTGGCTATTGGAGGTCTCATCTTACAGCTATGCAGTTATTTCATACATTTGTTTATGAAGAATGCACAGGGTACTCAAAGATTTTCTACATCCTTGATATAAGTCTCAACAGATTTTTGTGGATAAGTATTGAAGTGGGGGGAAAAAAGTTAAGATTCTGTATTTTTATTTTTTGCTCCCTGGTTGAGATTAGTCTTAATATTTTCAATATATGCCCCAGTATTTTACTGGGCTTGTCTTTTAATGGGATTATTCAGAAATAAGTTATTATATTTTCCAGTTCCTATGCTACCTTCATTCCCCTGGTAATACCATGGGTAGAGAAGCCTTAGCATTCATTACATAGGCAAACCTCCAAATCAAGACTGAAGACAGGCCCAGTAAAAAACCAAATTATCCTTCCTTGATATTACAAAGGAATTCTGAAATTCCTTTTTCAAAGGCTGTGACAACAGAACCAGAGTAATGCCATGTCATTGAAATAGGCATATTACTGACTTGAAGTAAGGGTAAAACCTGCAACTGGTGCATTTACAAATAATGCTGTTTGGTTTTTGTAGACATGGCTTCTACTCAGGAGCACACTCAGCAGCTTACTACCTGGTTACCCTCAGAAGTTTTCTCCCTGGGCTGGAACAAGCTGACAGAGCAGCACGGCTCCCTCGGGGAGCCACGGACCTGCTCATCACTCCCTGCAGCCCTGGGAGAAACTCATCCTGGAGCAGGGCTCCTCCTGGGCTGGGACCAGCAAGGTTAATTCGGCTCAACGCTAAAGCAGGAGCAGCCACTTACACCCAACAGCCCCTTCCTTGTGTTTTCCTCCCCCAGGCAGCCACAGCCTCTGCAGCCAAGCTGCAGCACTCCAGCCACCCAATGGGGATAAAAATACGACCCAAGAGCAAGTTTTGTGCAGCCCTTGTTGGCACCCATGCTGTGCAACTGGCACCTTTTATAAGCCAGAGCCCAACACCAAGAACAGAACTATGCTGTAGGGGAAGAAAAGCGTGTTCCCAACAGCTGGGATCAGGATGGATGACCCAGCAAAGGAAGTGGAGCTGAGCCGATGCATCATTTCCCTGCCTGCCTGCTTGACTCTGCTTTCAGCTCAGCATCTCCAGCGTTTGGGAGGCAGATTTAATCTGCTGGCTGCTGCAGCCCTCTCGTGGTCACACCGACCCAACCCTGCTCCTGTGTGCCAGCTGCTGGGAAAGCACAGACCCAAAGCCTGTGTGGGAGGACAGCCTGCTTTAAAAAGCACAACAAATAGTTACTAAATAGCATATTCGTCCAGAAATAAATATAGAAATAAGCAGAACAGACACTTAGGATAGTATGTATGCCAAGTGCACATGCAGAGTTGTAGTTAAATGACTTGCTCTTCAAGAATCAAAAGAGAAATTACAGATAATGCATTAAGTAGCTGTGATTTTAATGGGGTGCCCTGTTTCATCTCCCCAGGCTGTCACTGAACAGGCTGCTTTGAAGTGCTCCTTTGCACATTGATTTACAATGGTGTAGGTAAATTTTGTGGTTAGGGGTTTTACTGAGTATCTGCTTACTGGAAACATGTCCATCTGCTCAGGAAACTCCTAGGAGGGGGGAAAAACTCTTGGGGTTGGGGAAGATCTGAAGGAACATGGACTGTTTTAAATTTCTGCAAAGACTAACAGGTAGATGGTTCTTTGGAGCTTGAAAAGCAAGCTTGGGTTTCAGTATTTTCTGTTTTTCTTTTTAGTCTACCAGGGAGAGACAGAGACATCACTAACACATGGAAATAAACCACAGGAATTAATAGTGGAAGGAGAACATTGATGGGATCAGTGCCCGTTCAACAGCACTTTCACACACTCCCTGCCCAAGGCTGTCAGGGAGCACAAAGCAGCTACCTATAGAATAAAAAATACAACTGATCAAAACAAAAGCCTGTGCATAGGTATGGGGTAGTCTGGAGGAGGCTGGCTGGTTCAGATTGATGTTTCTTAAGCTGACAGTAACAGTACTTACATACCAGGGTGCTGCAGTGCTGCCAGAGGGATGATGTTATGCTATCCTTTTCCCATTGCCTTGCTCTTTTTTTTTTCCTTACAGTAGTTCCAGAGGAAACATCTGCAGGAGAAATGGCTGCATTTCAAAAAGATGTTAAAAAAACCCATACCAAAACAAAACAAAAACCAAAAACCCCACAAAGCACAAAGTGGAGCCCTGACGACCGCGTGAGCTGACATGCCCCTTGCAGTAACTGCACCAGGGCAGATAGACTGATTGTGGGGTGGGATAGGTTTGGTGGGGTCACCAGAACTCTGGAGGATGATGACATCTAACATTTTGCAAGCCAGTGTGCCAACCTAAGTGTTCTTGGTACTGGAACAAGCCTTTTCATCAATACCAGGCACCAAAAAGGCAATGGTATCTGCAGCCCATTTGGGTGGTCACGGGCATGTGTTTTCCAGCTTAAGCCCAGAAAAACTAGTTTCTGGAGGTGTGCCCTGTGCCTGCACATATTTTCCACCTGAGCAGGTGCTCTCAGCCCTGAGAACTATTTGCAATGAGGCTGGTGGAACTTCAGGCCTTTCCCTGCCACGTGCCCAGCCCAAGGTCTGCACAGCGACATGGCCTTAAACGCAGCACCAAACCTCACCTGTTTCCCATGCAGGGTCTGTTTTTCCAGCTGTCTACCCTGGCAGCACCTTCTTGAGCCTTCTGAACAACGCAGGACCTTGTGAAAGTAGTCTTAGCTTACCTATATGATCACCTGAAGCACATACATTATCTTTAAGTAACACAGGTGCAGTGTTGCAGTGATGGTGCTTGGAGCCAAGCTGCCCCTGATGGCTGCAGCACAAGGATGGGCTGCAGCTCACACTCACCTCTTCCGTGGTCTCAGGCTCGTCTTCCTCTTACAAGAAACCTTTATGCTTCCATAAAACAGTATTTTGCATTTTTGTTGTTGTTTTTAACTAAATCACCTCTTCGTTCTTCATTTTCTGTAAGCCCACACATACAGACCAAGATGTGACTTTTTTTGGTTTAAGATCACTTTTATTTTGTATGGAGAAAAAACAGTAGTAAGAAAGTAACAAAATTAATATCTACCTGAAAGAGCACAGGGCAAATATCATCCTGGGATCCAAAAATTCTCCAAACAAAAAGGCTGATAAATTTTTAAGACATGTCTATACTGTGAGATGCTGAGAAGACTGGGGCAGTAAATATCAATGCTGATAAAATCGTGTGCAATAGCCCAGCACAGAGCAGCTCACACCTCAGGTCGGGGGGCAGTGAGGCACCTTGCTTGCAAAGCAGTGGGGACAGCTTGCTGGTTTTGTCCTGGCACAGCTGGAAGCAGTGGGTCTATATGCAGCCAGCACAGGGGCAGCAGCCTCCTCCCAGCTGCAAAGCAGCACCTGGTCATATAGACACGTCTGTAGGTATGTAAACATGCTGGCTATATAGAAAAGTTGAAATCCCAGTGTCAAAAGCACAGACAGGGTGCATACTGTTAAAAAACAAGTCCATGTAGGCTTTTAGTAAGATGGAGATCTTTGCTTTCTGGAAAATGTTCTGCTAGGGCTGGACTAAATACCCAGGGTGAAATCTTGGCCTCGTTGCCCTCAGCGGGGCAAAGAGCCCATCCCTGGTGTTGCAGTGTCTGCTGACCCTGGCTGGGAATGGGAGGCTGCAAGGGAGCCCCACTTTCTTGCCTTTTTGCCTGCGAGTTGCCTTCTTCCTACACTACCCACTTCTGCGAGTGCATCGCCCCCATACCCACCCTAACTTGTCTTCTGCAGTTGGTCCAGACTCTAGGATTCAACCACAATCATACTCAAGTTGTTCCTGAAGATGATCCTCCCGTCCTTTTTGGTGCTGCACTCGGGCTGGCAGAGAGCCTCCTGCAGGCGCTGCCGCAGCCCCAGGGGGGCGGTGTCCAGGAAGCTCTTTGTCCCTGTCAGGAAATCCATCATCAGGCTCCCAGCCGGGTCCCCCTCGATAAAGCACTTGGTGATATCCCAGCCCGAGGGGAACTCATGGACACAGAACTCGACCCCGAGTCTCTTCAGAACGTCCGTGATGCCGTTGCAGGTGATGTAGTGGCCGCTGTCGGTGGCAGGCAAGCAGTGTCTGTACTTCTTCCACAAGCTGGCCCATCCACTACTGTCTGCCAGAGCAGAAGGGAAGGTCACTTTTGCAAAACCAAGGCAGTCAAACACCAGTTAAGGCAACTAGTAAAAGAGTTTGAAATGCTCCCTCTGTGCTGGCCCAGACTTTGCTAGGAGCAGAAGAGCTTGCCCCTCACTTGAGCACACTTACAAATGTCTGTGCCCAGAGAGGGGTAGAACTGTCACCTCCCCCAGTCCTCCTTCCAAAACTCTCCTGTTTAAAGGAAAACCCTAGGCAACAGTCTCAGGCTGGATGTGCCCAGGAGTAGTACACACAGAGGTACCAACGCCCTGAGCCTGTACAGGCAGGACACCTATTAAGTGCCCCTTTGCTAGGGCAGTAAGGATGTTTTTATACATCAAATCTCAATTTTAAGTGCACATTGAAGAATACATAACTGAAAAAGTGAGTCCCACTTAGCAAGGGAAACAGCCTTGTTTCCCAAACAGCAAGGTGAGAGGGAGTTTTAAAGGCAAACACGGGGAAGTGAGCTTCTTCCACCACACCATGAGCTGGGGGTTCATGAACGGCACACTGGAAAAACCACTTTCTTTTTTCCATAAGTCCCATGAAGTTGTAAGTGCCTCTTCTTCCTGTCCTGCCATAAAGGCCACAGCTCTGGCAGCACCTGTTGTCCTGCTGGGTTCTGGGCCATTGCTGTACAGAAGGAAGAGCCTCAAAGATGTGTCCCACCAGAGCTCAGGTTGTGTTTTTACAGTGCTGATTTCACCATGAAGAAGGATTGACCCTTATCCATGAACAGCCACACTTCTCTCCAGCCAGCAATTTCACAGCCAGGTCTCTTTGCAGTACAGAGTAATTCATCTACTTCATAAGCAGGGAAGCAAGAGCACGAGGGCTATGCCTAAGAGGTCCCATCAGACGTTGGGATCCAAGAGGCTAAGCCCAAGATTGCATGCTCCCTATGAAACACAGATTTTTTAAATTTAATTGCTGTAGAATAAACACTACTGAAATCCCAAGGCAAATATCTGTGGCTCTCAAACTTCAACGCTCTCCAAAACACTGGCAATGAGGCAAAAAATAAAAGGTCCCTCTTACCTGATAAAATTATGATCAGGAGTTTACCATGATGGTTGAGGCAGCTGTGGAAAAATTTGATAGTATTGGGAATATCCTCCACACGGTACAGCATCTAGAAGTGACAGAGTTACACACAGCCATTATTCCTCATCCCCAAGGCAATGACCCCTCAAAGGCTCAACTCTCTACAGAGTTGTTTTCAATTACTTCCTGATTGCTCCCCAGCCTGTCCTGACTCAGCACACACGTTTAGGGATGCCCCACAGGACTGAGCATCACCAGCTCTCCACTGGCACCAACAGCCTGGGGTCAGACCCTTCTGCTCATCCTCAGCCACCAGCCAGGTGTTGACCTGTCCACTGCTGTCCTTCAAGCCCCGTGCAGTTTTGTGGTTGGAAAATGTCTGCAGAGAGGAGTCCCCTGGTGCCTGTGGATGTTCTTTATCACCAGGGGTATTTCTCAGGCCTGTATGGGCAGGCTGAACCTCTTCCAGACACTGAGGAATTTGCATTAGGACAAAGCAGAGCATATCTCAAAGGCTGTGCTCAGAACTTGTAGCTCAATCCTTGACCCAGTCATCAAACCTCTGAAACATTTTCTGATTGTAAAATCAGTTTTTATGAAATGAAAGCAAAATGCAATAAGAAAAAAAAAAATGCCACTAAAGTGAGAAAATAAGAGGTTGTTTTTTTTTTTTACAAAATATAATTGGTACATACAACATCAGTGTTATCAGTATCAGAGACACAGCAGCATCATTTCTCACCCAAAACTTGTCATAGGTGCTTGTTCACTAGTCTTTCCCTTTGGTGTCATCCAAACTACTCTGATAAGGTAAAAATTCAAGCTTTTTTTGTTTGTTTTTTTTTTTTCAGCAGCAAAGCAGAAATGTTGGTCTCTGTGTGATGTGTGACTTCAGAGTACTCCTGTTTTATTACCCACCACACAGTTAAGCCAGTACAAACCAGAGACCAAAACAAGGGTGGGGGTAGGGAATGATGTTTGGTGTTAGTAGAGCTGCTGCAGAAGTTATTGCTGATGGGAGAACTGTGCTCAGCTCTGGTCCCCCTAACTTCATGCATACAGCAGAAGTGAAGGGAGCAGTTAAAGCTAATATTCCTATATTAAAGCAATACATCATTACCTGGATCATATGGATGAAGTCAAATTTCTTGTGTACCCCTTTGTCTTTCACCTGTTGTTCATACTCCGAGGAAGTGAGCTGGTGCCAAATAAAAGAGACATTCTGCAGGTCTGGAGCTTGATTCACCAATTCTGTTTTTAAAAAAAAACAGTAGAAGGAAAACATAAATTTCACAAAAGAGCAAAAAAGCTCTTTGTTTGAACCAGTGGTCCTTGCTATACCCCCTGCAGGCAGGCATAGCCTTACCTTTGTAAGCTGCCACGTGCTGTGGGTTGGGCTCCACAATTTCGTTGTCAATAAGGACCCCTGGGTGCACAGCCTGCAGTATCCTGATCATTTTCAAATCCTGCTCACCTGCTCAATAAACATAAATGCATTACTTCAGAAAGTCCATAAATGTGATGAAAGGATGCTGGTGCACTCGCCACCTCTACTGCCAGGAAATCCCCCCAGTAGAAATGAGGCATTCTTTACTTTGCAGTCTGCATGGTGGCATCTAACCCAGTCTTATCTGACTGCTCCAGGTAACAGGTAAGTCCTACCTGTTTGCAGATGAGACTAACAACAAGGATGAGATATACCATAGTGCAGGAACCTGTTAACGACAATGCTCTGGGTCATGGGACAAACAGGTCAAAATAAAGGCCAATGTTTAAAAAAACCAATAATCGTGAAGCATAAGTTTTCAAGAGAAACACAAAGTTTGAATGGGGGCAAGGAGGGACTTGACACAGCTGTGCCACTTCAGCATGGCACAGGGTGGTCCAAGCCTTTGGCACTGCCCCAGGGAGGTGAGGGCTGCTCTGCTGCTGCTGTGACATGGCTTGGAGACCTGGGGACCTGCATAGCAAGAGGGAAGACCTGCTGACATGCAGTACCCTGGGTTTTCTCTCTTTGGGGACCATCCCCACGGTCCTAGCTCTGGGCACCTACTTGTGTGTAGGTGCCCTGCAAATTTAGCTATTGGTGCTCCTCTGTTGCTGTCTAAGTTCTGGGGGAGCAAGAGGCAGTCCATCATCCTGTTCTAGGAAGTTGCCAGCCTCTCCTGAGGTGATGCAGGCCGCTCGAGTTTCGTTCAGACAGGCCAGGATACACCAAGTGTACAAAGTCCATCTGGTTCATGTGGGACTATGGAAATAAGCAGTAAAGGTGACTGCCTTGAGTGAACCTTCACAAGAATCCTGATGGTGGGGCCTAAAAATAGGCCTGCCCTTGCAAATGTCACACACAGAGGGCTTGATACGAGATACTGCATCTTCCCTTGCCTTTCAGCTGATGTACCAGCTATGGGAAAAGTCATCATCTTTGGCAGGTCTTGCAGTAAATGGAATTCAAGGAGGGAAATATCAGCCATGCCAGCACTACAGGGACATCCAAGGAGTGGTAAGTCTTTTGAAATTGGAGAAAAAATATGCAAGACCCCTGAGGAATGCAGTGGAGATGGCGCAGGGCTGGCCAAAGGCACAAGGAAGGAGGCTGAGACTGTATCCACTGAAGGTGGGTGTATGGACCAGTATTGCTGACAGGAAGGAAGAGACCTATAGCAAGGAGCTGAATCATTTTAGACAGACCTAAATGCCAGTTATTGTGTGCTTGGGGTGGGGAGCACCAGCAATTAGGGCTGCTGACGTGGGCTCCCTGCAGGCTCAGGGCAGGCAGCAGGCAGAGCATCACTGCCCCATGCCCTGGGGCCACTGATGGTGCCAAATGGGTATATCAACAGCAAATGGCTATTTTAAAAGCTGTTTGGTGTGGGTTTTTTACTTCATCTCTGTAAGAGGTCCTAACCCAGTCTTTCCATGAGCAGGTAATAACATCCTCAGCTGGGGTGTCTGCAAAAACAAGTGGTAAGAGATGGTGCTCCAGAGCAGGAACTTCTCTGTTCCAGCTTGCCCTGCCAGTGGCAGCCCTTCAGCACTAACCACAGAGAGGTTCTCCAGAAACAGAAGGGAGACTGCTCTGCAGACAGCAGCACACCTTGGCACTAACTGGAAGGTTACAGCTGAGATAGTTAAACCAGCTATGGGAAAACACAGGGTGAATGAGAAAATGTGATCTGGACCACAACAGTCTTTTAGGATATGGACTCAGTCACTAATCCCCATTAATATTTTCGTCAACTAAACTAATTCTGGGGGCTCTGTGAAATCAGAATCCAAGCCTGGAAAGGTCAGGGATCAGATATAACCTTTTAGCTCAATGCCATCCTAGCTCACTCCCCTGACTGGCTGCAGAAGTTCAGCTCTTGCAGCCGTGGGCAGGCTGAGGGGGTGTGAGCCTGTACCCCTGTCCCATCACCCGTGAGGGGCAGTTACCCAGGAGTCCCAGGACATTTTACAGTTTTTATTTTTCCATTAAAACATCTTCTAAAGAGGAAATAAGGAAAAATCAGGATAGTGCAAAAAGTTCTATTTTCCCCTTGTGTTTTCTTGCAAGTCAGAATTTTGGTTTTGTGTTACTTAATGAAAATAGAGTGTAATTGAGAATGGAATGATTTCTTCTTGCTTGCTTTCTCATCTGCTCCAATGTATTCCCTACTGGGGAAAACAATTCAATGCTATTTTCTCTTACTCAGGAAAACAAGCAAAAAAACTGAGAAAAATACTTTAATTTGAAAGTATTAATGCTTAAAAATCAGCTGAAAATACTTTTAAAGCAAAAGCAAATGCTGATAAACCATACTGCTATTTCTTTTATCTACTCTTCATTTTCTCCCAATTTCTCTAGGAGCAAATTTCGATGTTTCACCACTTTTTTTTTTTTTTTTTTTTTTTTTTTAAACTCAGATGCATTTAAAGCAGCTTTAAAGCTATTTTTCCAAAACATGAGTTTCTCTCTGGGGGGAAATACCATTTGCATTTAAACCCTACTTAACACCAGATAAAGCATGGCAGTAACAAAGAAAAACTTGAAAAAAAGCTGATGCAGCTCCATGCTAATGGCTGTGACCAGCTGGTTTTGCACCACCTGGAGCAGAGCACTGCCCAGCCTTGGTCTCTGACATCCTCAAAGAAAAGCAAAAAGAGAGATTCCTTCAGGTGGGATAGTCTAAGACAGGACTTTGTGTGGTGCACACCTCTCAGATGTCTCTATTCTGTCCAACAAGGTTTGAAGATGTTTTAGTGCCTAACCCAGAGCAGGACTCCATGCTTTGAGACTCACAGTCAAGTGAGAATCATCAAAAAGCTAAGCTAAAACTGTCACACTCATCTCACTTCTCAGAGAGATTTGAGCAGCAGCATCTCAGAAGAGAGATGAGGAAGGGAGGGAGCATTGCTGTCTATCCCATTTTGCCATTCTCGGCTTCAATGAGAGATGCTGGTACTAAGGCCTGTGTCATTATCCCCATTGCTCAAAATTTCAGTATCACTTTCTGCTGCCCACAGGGACCCCCATTCCCCAGCATCAGGGTGCTGCCAAGCTGCTTACCTGTGCCACTTCCAATGCCCAGAACACTTATAGTCGATTTTCCATTGCTGAGACTGAAATTAGAAATGCACACTGCTTAGCCACTGTGTCAGACAAACCCATGCTTTAATTCTAATATCTTGGGTCCCATGTAGGCCCAGAAATTTTAATGTTTTGCCATGTGAACTGGGATAGAAATTTGAGCACCTCTTTGGAGCCCAGCCATAACCAGTGGCGTGGTGGGAGCCAGCCCTGTATAAACAAGCTCACATTTCAAAGTACAGTAGGCACCAGGATATAGAGTTTCTCACCCTTTGCCAGAGAGTTTACTTCAAGCTGTGGCTGGCACCATGCAGAAAGGCCTCAGGGAACCCCAGGGTGAAGGGTTCCCTCCAGGGGTAGTGGGGCTCTGCCTGTCTGGGACGGGCACTGCTGCGGATGTAGGGACAAGGTGAGCTGGAGCAAAATCTCTGCACCTTTAGGAGACAAGTTTGGCTTTCCAATACTGGTTATAAATATCCAGAAAAAAAAATCAGGTTATCTAGTTGACTAGAAATCCTGTATTTTCAACATTAATCTTGGTTTGAAACTGGGAGGGAAGATCATAATCGTCAACAATTTTTTTCTGTAAAAAAATTACTTTTGGAGAGACCAATAAACTCCCAGTCATGTGGTTCCTAATAGAATATTTAAAACCAGTCTGGCTGGAAGATGAGGAGCCCTAGCTTGAGGCACCTCACTGCTCTGGCATGCTTTTTGGTCTTATTCTGCTCTTGGCCATGGACTGTGCAGGGGGATTTGGTTTCTCACACGCAGTTTCAGGAGACACCAGAGCAATGACTCAACAAGAGAGGAACTAGTAGTAAATGCTGGAGGGTGTGAGCTAGACAAGGAGTCTTAGCCCTAAGGAGGGTTAAGACCTTTTGACCCACAATCACTGAAGCCTCAATGGTTTGCATAATTTAAAATTCACATAAATAACTTTTTTTTTTTCAATTTGCCAATAAAAATTATTTTTTAACTATTATTTTATTGCTTCTTTTCTATATGTATGTCTGATCTGGAGGATAAAAAATTGCCTGCCTAAATTTCTTTCTCAATGGAGAATACAGTTTCTATGGCATCCAGAACTTATCCAGACTTGAAAGGGCTTTCTTGGGGTTTAGATGTAGGTTGTTCTAAAACTATCTGCAGTCATCCAGGCTTAATATATTACATTGGTACTTCACAAAACTGATTATCATTTGGTACTTAAGCAATGCAAATCGACTTAGGATAGAAATAAGGAAGTCTTAGGGGATTGAGAAAATCAAGAATTAGTCACTAGAAGAGAATTAGAGATGTGTTTCAGTTAGGACTGATGTATGATGAAGTCCCAAAAGCAGGCAGAGAGCACAAGAAAGCTTTTTTTTTTTTCCCCCCCCAAAGAAAACCCCACACCATAAAACCCACAAACCACAAAATAACAAACAACATTAATCCTTGGAAAATCAGCTAATGAAAAGAGATGGTCATGAAAATGAGGTCTTGGTTCTTTCCTTAACACAAGCCAAGAGGCAGCACGGTGGATTAATTGAAAAAGCACATATTCTGGAGTCATTAAACAGAGTATCTGAAAGACTGCTATTAAAGGATTTAGAACCAAAAAGCATTAGAATTTAACTCTTGCCCCAGAAAAAAAAATCCTTAAAACATTTGCTGACCCTTGTATGGAGGTTGCCCTCCCAGTATAACAGATGGCTTCCCCACCTCAGTGGAAGTGCTCCTTACCCAGCCACGATGTTGGGCATTTCCTCCTTGTTGAACTCGTCCATGCACTGGTGCTCTGTTGAATGATCCAAAAATGACTTAAAGGCCTCTACATACTCCTCATCTGTGAGACTTCGCATGGAGGGGATCACATATAGCTCTTGAGAAACAGATATGAATTGAGTGTCAGTGGATTCAAGGCAAGTGAAGGATCAAAGCACTTACCTTGTGAAAGAAGCCCAACCCAACAGCAGCCAGAGATTTGGGAAGATGGTACAGAGGAGGCATGGCCCAAGGGTTGTCCATGCAGATGGGCTCATGTGAAAACTTTCCAACTTGTTCACACTCAGGGTTTCAAAATTACTCTTAGGTGCCCTTTGACTTCAATGTATTTGTTAAGTCTCTCATGACTACAGGTCAGCCTGAGGAAAATGTTTCTAAAATGCTTAGCTGGGTATGGGCATTGGTTTGCAAAAAGGGAGGTAGCTGGAGTGTTTTTATGGGAGACTCAAGGCAAGACGGTGAAGGGAATCACACGGCAGGTCCAGACCTGGAGAGGCTGCAGCTCACACCTGCTGGACAGTGTAACTGAAATCAGCTGTTGGCACACTTGCTACGAGGGGTGACGCAACACAAAAACTGCCTTTTGCAGCTGAAGCAAAAATAGTGAACCCCAGGCACCTCCTTTCCATCTCTTGCCAACACGGGACTGCAACGCGCTGCTGGAGAGGTGAACTCCCTGCTGGGAACTGCAGCTCCTGGCCAGGAGGGCAACTGGTAGCAAAAGCATTTCATCTGAACAGGCTCATGCTCAAAGGTGGGTGGCTGAGACCACGATTACTAGCTCTGAACCAACATCCAGGGCTATTCAAGGGTTGCAAGCCATTATTGCAAAAACTCACTTTCCTGCCGTCTCATCCTAGTGGCAGCAGCACTGCCAGGGCACACGCTCTGGCCAACTGCTTGGCTCTGAAGAGCAGCAGTTAGACTAAGACTTGAGGGTTATGAGAAGATGCCATGCAGCCGAGTACTGGCTCTGGGGTTTCTCTCAGAGGGCTGCAGTATGAAGGCAGACACAGTGGCAGCCTCTGTGTGTGAGATCAGCATTGGGAAGGTAGCACTCAACAGGAAAAAGTTGTCTTTGGCAGCTGTGTTTCTTGTAGGTATGTATGGAGACCCTACGACCAGCCCTACTGAAGGTAAAGATATCAATATCTATCCTCCACACTTTGAACTATACCCTAACAAACTTGAAATACAGTCAGTTTAACATCCTGTTCCCTTTTTTGTTTTAAGTAATTTATAACTCTAAAAGAATTAAGCCATGTTTGTAGTGATAGCAAGCTGAGTGAGCATTTCACTTTAATTTATTTTTTTTTTTTTCTCTCCCAAATACCAGAATTATCATGTGGAGCTGTCAGAATCTCTGCTTCAAAGTTCATGCTGGGGAACCTAGTCCTGTAAGGAAAGTATAGCACTTCAGTTATTTGAAGAACCTGTATACTTTTGTGAAGCTGCATTGAAAATGCAGAACAAAAGGAAGATGCTCCAGGATAAATTCTCCTCACCTGATAATCAATGTTATTTGTTCTTTTTTATTAGACTAAAGAAAGCAAAACTTTCTTGGTTAGCTGATCACCCCTAAGTATCAGCAATGACTGGTCACCTGCACCAGTGCTTGGCTGAGATGTCTTGTGGAAGCTTTTCCTACCTCTGAAGAATCATTAACCAGTCAATGCAGTAGAAGGTATTGGGCTAACTGATACAAAAAACTCTGTGAAACCTTTAATCATTAATTGAGCAGAAGCAAGAGCAGCAAAATTAGGAAAAGGTTATAGTGAGCTTCACCATCTGAAGTGCTAAAAGATCTGCTTGGCCCAATGTTTCAGGGACCTTTTAGCTTTGGTGGGTTTTTCTGGTTCTTTTTCTCCTTTTTTTTAACTTCAGATTTTCCTGGCTGCAAATATTACCATAGGTAACCTGTAGAAGGTACAGGGCTCAGAGGGCAGAAGTCAAAACACCATTTGACCACAGATGTTTTCATTCTTAGTTTGGGTTATTTTTTGGTGAAGACTTCCAGCAATGGAGTCTCATCTTCACTTTCCCTTGACAACATGCTTCACCTATAAAAAAGGGATGAGGTGCCACTACCCAAAGGAAGGGATGAAATCAAATTGGACCAAGGACTTCACTTCTACAAAGAAATTGTTGGGGTGGGCCTGTCTGTGAGAAGGGAACAGTCATCTTCTCAGTAACCACATTTCAATAACAAGATGCACGGCAGGACATACGGGTGCTATTAATATATAACCTGGTTTTAGACATGCGGCTGCTCCCAAAGCTTTGCTGATAGAAAATGCTTTGTGACAAGCAGTCACAATAGCAGCAAGCTATAGCACAAGTCCCGGCTGCCAGGAAAAAAAAATACTCCTGCATGAATAAGAAACAAGCTAGGAGGTAGAAAAGAGTCTTGTAGTGGGACTTTGAGATATAAATATGGAATGACTGTGCTAGCAGGTAGGAAGGAAGCGGCCACGTGTGCAAATAACACGCTGCTTTGGCTGATGAAGGCAAGCAAAGACTAAGATGTCTCAGAGAGAGTGGGGTGCTGCCAGAGTCCTACAAGTCCAGTTGACTTCATCTGAGTACACTGCCAAAGTCACGTACCAGCCTCCCATGAAGTATGTCAAAGGTCTCAGTTCCACCACCTTGGCCTCACCTCTCCCCAGAAAAGACCTCTCCGAATTTCAGCTGTAACAAGCCCGACCTCGGCCCAACTCCATAAGCTCCAGCTTGGCCACAGGCCAGTCCCTCCAATTTCCACTCAGCCCTCTGACCTCCTCAGTCTCTGCCTGTCAAAACAGAGGATTATTCTGTCCTCTCAGCTGGCTGAACTAAGCAAGATGGTTTTCAGAACTAGTCTCCCACTAAAATGTCGAGGGGTAGTGCGGCTTCCCATGCAAAGAGAGGAACAACTTCTGGGGTCCCAGGACACGAACTCCATTTCTGACCGGTCAAATGTTTCCAGCCATCCCAGGAGACCTGCCAGGTGACCTCTACAAAGTGCAGCACAAGTATTCACTGGGATGGATGACACCAAGAGAACTTTTCCACTATTTTTACTGTTTCTCCCCTTAAGGCTTCTAAGATAGATTAACATTTCTTGATGGGAAGGTGAAACAGGTTTAATTATTGCTAGGAACAAATGGACATGCTCTAAAATCTGGCTTAAAGTCTAGCACAGATTTGAAAAATTGTCTGCAACACTTTGGGCTGGTACTGCTCATCCCAGGACCCCGACACCCACAGCAGGACGGCCGCAGCGAGCGGCAGGGAGCGGGATGCTCGTGGGCAGCTGGGGCTGCCACAGCTCCTGGCTGAGGCAGAGCTGGCCAGGTTAAGCCTCTTTCCCTCCATGAACTGGGCAGGCTGCATTACAGACTGCACAAGCAGGGCACAGAGGGGATTCACAGAGCGACTATAAGGGACACAGCACCTCTAAGTCAAAAGAATGATTATGTTCAAGATGTTTCCATCAACACAGATTGCAAGAACATCCTTGCCACTCCTAAGTTCATCGTAACTGAATTGGGGCTGGTGAGGGGTTATAGGTCTCCTCACAAAGGCTCGCTTAGCCCCCACCCCTCCCAGGGCAAGGGCAGATCCTACTGCTCCCCCCTTACACACCTCCACCTGTGGCCCAGGGGCGGCGGGGCTGGCTCTGCTCACACCTTCGCCCCTTCCCAACCCCACGTACCTCTTCATCTCCGGGGCTGGCTCCATGGCGGGTGCTGCGGTGGGACAGGGGGCAGGGAGCGGGTCGAGGGCCGAGCGAGGCGCTGGCCCTACCTGGGCATGTCCACCT